TTGCTTTGTCTTGAGTTTATCTTTGAAACTTATAGGCACACAGATTAAACTGTATTGTTGATTTTGGAAAACACTACTGAGGCTGCCTTGCTTCCCTTCAGAAATTCTACATTTTAACCAACTTACATGACATTCTATGTTACGTTGACTTTATCAGATGAAAGTTTATAGTGCATTTCATCAATTAATAAATAAATGTGAAAATCGTAATTTTCAACACAAATAATAGTCTCGCTACCTTAAATGAAAATAGTTTATGGTTTTACTATGTTTATTTATTTATTTATTTATTTATTTATTTATTTATTTATTTATTTATTTATTTATTTATTTATTTATTATAAATTGTTCTTATAAATTGTTCTTTAGAAACAGAAGAAAAGATTGTTGGAGCTAAAAGAAGAAATTAGAACAAAACCAGACGAATCAAAGGGTAATTATTAAATACATACGTACATAAATATATATGAAACACTTTGTGACACTGCATTGAAATTATAAATAATATAATGTAAACATAACAAACATGCATATTTTCCAGACAATTTGATAAAACTGCTACCGACATTAATGGAACTTGGTATTGATAATGGTGGAATGAGTTACCAGATGGTGGATGAGCGGAGAAGCAGACTTGATTCTTATCAGACAACGTTAAACGAGATTGATGGGTTTCCTTTGCCTGACTTTAATGACAGGGAACGGGTGTGTAACCATTCACCTAATTAGTGAATAGTTTATCAAACATAACAACAGTTATGAGAAATTACGGTAATGAGAAATAGATCTTGTAATGATGTCAAGGTTCTTGCAATCAATTTTACTTTAATACTAAGGTTGTTACGTATTAATAACAAGATTACAAAAGCATCTACCATGTATTATGCATTTCATTTTAGAGGGAAACCTATTGCGAAAGTGTAAGTAAATGGTTCACTAAGAAATATAAGAATATCAAACAACTATTCTTTGGAGGAAACATGACTGCTGAGGACAGTGAAGATGTCTATAATGAAGTGTGGAATAAACTTCAGCGAGAAGAAGTACAGAGTGCCCTTGAATACCTTAAAACCCAGGTCCGTGACTCCAGACAAAAGTACCTGAAACTAGCCATCACAAGTCAAGCTCGATCGTGCTTTCTCGCTTTTGGTATGTTTCTTTTTGAGATGTACACCACCCATGAAGCCATTGGTGATTTACACAATAAATTAACTGGTAGAGTTGACCAGCGAATAACCGATGTTAAGAAAGAAATAGAGGAGCTAATTAAGGACACAAAGCAATGCTCAGATAACTTTAAAAAGGTAGGATTTAATCTCTCTACATCTCCTGTTTAGTATACATCTTAACAATTTATAATTTATTGCCGATGTCAGTTTCAATATATTTTTATTTTTAAACTACAACCAACAGGCAAAACACCAAATTTTAGACTTGCAAATAAAATATTTCACAAATAAACACAAGAAATTACTTTCTCAAAAATGCGACTACTGTGTTTTTGAAAACTACCCGTAATAAAAATTGTTAAAAATATCAATTGCGTAATTTATTAGTTCACGTGGAAAGTAATATTTTTTGACATTTACTCGACATTTTAGGATATTGAAAAACGAGCACAATCTCGTACGACGAGGTGCAACATGTATTAAATGAATTTCCGATAAAAGACAGAATTGTGATATGAATGGAGGAATTTGTACAACAAGTACAAGCCAAGAAAGAATTTTTCAACGTATTTTTCAAGAATATAATAAATTTGACCTGATACATAAACCTTTTATAAATTTACAATCTATTTTGCCCATTGCTCAACATTTTGGACCAACATTTTTCACACAGTTTGATCGAAGTGAGTCGATACTGTTTGATACTATACCCAAGTTTGATATAGTATTAGTTTGGATTACTCAAGTAATCACCCACACAAGGAAAATGATTAATGACAAACAGAAGATCCTTCACATATCCTCTCTCCATTACAATTTCAGACGTAGACAAAAAACTATATCAATGCAATACTTGTATTTGTATATTTATAGACCGGGAAACCGTCGATTCCATTTGACTCATTGATTGGTGACTATAACCGTGTGAAACAGAAGATAGAACAATTAGCACGTGACCTTTTAGGCATGCAAAGTGAGATGAAACAAGGAAGAATGAAGCATGGGTTTGGTGCAGCAGTAAAGTAAGTACTGGCAATCCAATGATTGGTGGTTACCAGGCAGGTTAAAAACAGCGAAATATTTCACCTTATCTGATTTTGTTGTTTACATTTCAGTGGTATGGAAACTTACAATGCTTACCAACAAGCAAAGATGTCGATGGAGTACCTACCTGGGTGGTGGAAAGTATTGGCTGTCGCAATTCCTATAGCCCGTGGTATAATGACTATGGGTCATGGGATATCTGCTGTCCAGTGTCATCAAGCGCTACAGGCAATAGCTGAACGACTAGATGAGACCGATAAACTTAAACAACTGTAAGAAATCTATTAAGTGTAATTTTATTATTTAAAACATTGTTTTAAGGATGTTTGCAATTCGCTAAATCAAACATTATCGATAATAACATAATATTTAAACTAGATTCACAAGATATAACAAATGAATAAATATAATGCATTTTTTTTTTCAGGCTGGAGGACGGTATGAAAATATTGGATGAACTTTTGGACAATGCCTTGTTGAAATGTACATGATGGACGAGATGGACTTCAGGAGAAGGCCATAAGTAAAACGCACTCGCGAATAATTTTGAAGAAATTAAAACAATTTTACCAGCAATCAAAATACAAGAGGATAATAACAAAATAATCATGTTATCGTGGGGAAAAACTAATCACAAATATTTTTGAAATGTTCAACATTTTTAAGAAATATTAATTGCTGTTATATGCTGCTCTATATAAGTTGCAGCTAATGTATGTGTGTTTGGGGGGGGGTTTGTTTGTGTGTGCAAGTCCGATTTTGTTTCACGGTAATTCAAGAGCCACTTTGCACAGCTATATGAACACCATACCTGATTGTTGGTACAAACGTTTGTATAATATTTAATCTGTTTTAGCATTTTAATTGCATCTGTCTGCTTGCTGTGTGTAGATTAGTATCTGAAATTACATTAATTAACAAATTTGATTAATTAAGTACTTTCAGCATATTTTGTTTATATTTTAACAGTTTTTGTATTGGAGCTTGTTACACATGTACCGCGTGTGTAGTCTCATGACTGACGAAAAAACTGATGTAAAAGTGTTTTTTTGAGACACGTTTTTGACTCCAACAAACTGCGATCATAGTTAGTAGCTAATTTAGCAAGTACTATTGTTCAAAATTACGCTTAATGTTTTCAATAATGTTACCAGTGACAAATTACCTAATTCGGGAAATCACTGTGTGTGTGCATGCGCAGTCAAGTCGCGAATAGAACTCACTCTGAGGGGAAATTAGTAGCGCTAAACGTTTCATCCAGATCGGGCGGCGCCCTCTTGTTCCATTGCCCCTTGATGTGCCTATGATTTACATTCATTTCGTTCAAAATTCAGTGAAAACAAATGTCAATGTTTATTTTCGGCAAAGATAATTCCAGCTAAAATAAAGTATGTTACAGTAGTAGTTTAATTATCTAATTAACATACTAATTACATGTAAGTATCACCAGCCTTTCCTTTTTGTATCATATAATTACAAAAAATAATACCAGAAAAACATCTCTGATCCAAAAAACATGGGAATTGTTCAGTGCTCTTAATTTGCAATTAACTAACACATGGGAGCATATTCAGTTTCAGTATGGTGTCAATTGGCGATCAAAGCTCTTTATATAGGTCCAAGAACACAGATAAATAAAAAAAAAACGACTGAGTGACAAAATTTAATACATTGTCAGACCCACGAGAGACACGTACATCTGGATAAATCGTCTTAGTGTATTTTCTCTTACTCAATTTCTCATGTTTATCTTGTAAGTCAGCCCCTTCCTCCAACCAGTTTGGAAATTTATCTTCTATTAATTCAATATATTCACTATCTCAACAAGCTAGTATTCAGTTTCCAGTAGGAAGGGCCTTTGATTGTCTCTTCATATTGTAAATTTAGAACAACAGCCAAGTGGTCTGACAAAATACATGGGGTAATAGAACATGACTGTACACAATCCATTAGTGTGTCATTGATAATGAAGTAATCCAACCTGCTTTGTATAGTATTAGGATGGAATCTCCATGTAAACATAAGCTTACTTGGGTGTAGAACCCTCCATATATCGATTAGGTCCAGTGCTTCCATAAATTCAATAAGCAACTCAGATGATTTATACCAGGGTTTGGGATTCCCCCCTTGGCGATCTTTCAGAATGTCCAACATCATATTGTGGTCTCCACCCCACAGAATATTGACATCCGGATTTAATAAATTTCCCTTGATTTCTTTCAATAATACTTTTAGAAAGTAGATGTTGTTTTTCAAAAGTGGGAGCACATGAGATTATCAGGAAAAATTGCTTGCCAGAAATTGTAACATCCAATATTATATACCTGCCCTCTGGGTCTGACACTATTTTGTGAATATCATAATCTAAGTTTCTCATAATTATTAATACTCATCTGGCAGTTGATGAACCATGACTAAAAATCATTTGGCCTTTTAATTGGCTACGCCAATATCTTTCACAGTTCAATGTACTGTGTGTTTCCTGTAGCTGTACTGCTTCCTTGTTTAGAGAGCCAGTTAAATATTTGTTTACGTTTTCTATACTGACCCACTCCCCTAACATTTAAAATCAAAACACTAATGTCCGACATCTGCATAGCTGTTTGAAATATTAATCACCCTGTACCTTTCCATTTTCATTTCCTTGTGCTTTTTGATTTTGACTCGTTTTTCAATAACAACAAACAAACAGGGTCAAATATTAAATATTAAAAATAGCAAAAAACTGTAAAAATTTAGAATTAAACAACATATTACCCGACTTGACAGTCTTAAGTACAAACTACTGGAATAGACCTCCACCCAACAATAATCACAACACACATCCCAACACCGGCCCTTCGCTCAAACCAATTTTCAAAATTTCCTCTTTTCATAACTCACAGTGAACCAAATATTCAAAGGATATAAAGTCTAAATTAATCATTCTCGCTGTCTTTTTAGTCATGTTCAAGGTAATACATCTTCTGAGTCAAGTTTATGTGGTTTTCCGTTAATGTACAACACTTCATTCTGAAAACGGAGCCTCTTCCCTTCATTCCACGCTTTTTCCATTAATGGCATAATTTTCCATTTCGCTTGGTAATCTTCCTTACATAAATCTTCCTTCACGAAAATGTCAGTTTCCTTTAGTATATCCCTGGCCCTGGTTAATACTATTTTTCTATCTGGTCTATATATAAACTTTGCGACGATAGCACGAGTACGGTTACCTCTAGAGGGGCCACCTGGTATTATATAGGCGTTTTCAATAGTCATTGGGTTTAGGTCCAATTTCTCCTTTACTAAATCTCTCACCATCTCCATCGTATTTTCGTTGTCTTTTTCCCCAATTCCATAAATTCTTAAGTTAAACCCCCTTGAGTATCTCTGTTCTTTCAATCTTTCTTCTCTTTCATACTTATTTTCTGTTTCTAATGCGTTGACTCTCTTTCTCAGTCGTTCTATTTCTTCTGTGTTTTCTTTCGCCATGTTTCCGTTGAACTGTACCGAATCTTCTAGATCTTGATATTTCTTTTCCACCTCACCTAACCGGGACACTAAAACAGCCATTACTTTAAAGCCATCCTCAATACTCTTTTTCAGATCAGTTATCAATTTCGTGAGATTTCTTACGGGGTTGTCGGGAAGTTTATATTCTGTCGCCGAGCCATTTTCCGAATCACGCTGTCGGGCCTCTGAACACATGGCTGTGGTAACGAAAGCGTTCATGGCGGTTCTCTCCTGCTGATGTTCTTTCGTCTTTGGCTTTTTCTTCTTATCTTTGGAACTTTGTCCTGGCATTTTCTTCTCTATTTGATCACACTGTATTTATGTTGCCTATACGTCTATACTTTATAGAGGTGTCTTCTATTTTAGTGAGATTTTTTTAGCAAAACGGGAGCCGGTCTGGCGCAATGTTACTAGCCGAACATTGTCACGTCAAGCAAAGCACTTGGTATGGTTGATAAACACGTATAATTGAATAAGCTCTCAATTTATGCCATTTGAAAAGTCTCCTAATACGGTTCAATTATTATTTATCTGACCGAAAAAAAATATGTATTTGATCGTAAATTGTCGGATGTTGTCAACATTCGACATTATGTACCACAGGGTTCAATGTTAGAACCATTATTATTTCTTCTATTTATAAATGGCCTACACGTATTTCTTGTAAATAGATCAACTGCTATATATGCTGACGATCAACTTCTGTTATCGTCTGGACAATGTATCATTGTTATGTATTGATGATGATGTTTGGCCAATTTTGCATTGTGTTAATTATTAATTACATGTCAATCAACACATGCAAATCAAAACCTATGCTCGTTGAATCACGTCAAAAGTTAAATAATGAATATTTTCTAGTTAACTTTAGTTGTGAAATAATTAAAACAGTCAGTTTCGAAAAGTCACTTGGATTGGTAATAGAAAAAAATCTATCATGGGACTATTATGCAGGTATTCTTTGTAAAAAGCTCAGCCAAAAAAATGTGGCGTTCTTATAAAAGTTTGCAGCTTTTTACCTATTTCCATAAGAAGAACATTGTAGTTTTCATCGAATTTAATTTATATGGTTGGATGACACATTGGAGTCTTGTTAAATGAAAAAAATGGTGACCTACCTTCATGAGTTGATTCGTAACATACAATGGCAACAATTGGATGAACTTATTCATAAAATAAAAATATGTATGTAATATGTATGTAAATCCATACTATATCATTGTTAATAATATAGAACAGCTGTTCTTAACTTTAGTAGATCTAATCTTCAGGCAGGGGCGTCATTGAGATTATTTTTCAAAGCGCCGGCAAAAGAAAAGAAAACAATCGGTACCATATTCAAACAATTGCAGCGGAATTGTTGACATTTAATCCAAAGCTAATGTGTTTACACGACAGTCATATTTACAAATATTTGTTATCGACATCAACATGTTCGCTACCACTTTATTTGACGAAGGGCAGATTTTTCAATTTTCTCATTTATGTCATTCCGTCTATTGTAAAACACCTTTGAGCTATTTGTGGGACAGACATATTTTGAAGCTGACATACTTTTGATGAATACTGATGAAATCGCTAGAAACTATTCAACAAAATATCAGGTATATGTTGGTCTCCTCAGTAGATACTGTTAGCTCGTCACATCATAGGATATAATACTACAAGGACCTATTTTACATTTGGGCTCACGTTACATAATCCCAAATGATTTAGGTGAAACTACTAAAATCAAAAGGTTGGGTTTCATTTAATTTGTTCCAAAATTCTGAACTAAAATAAGTAGATACAGGTGATCTGCTGGTGTGTTTTTTGTGTCTATTTCGTCAATGCCTTATATATATAGTGAGTGCAACAATGCATAATGACATTCAGTTGTTTACTATGAATGTCTATTTCAATGGAATGAATAATTTTTGAATGTTGGTCATTATTCAATGAGCAAATTCGCAAATAGCATGACATTTATACTCGCTATTTATTTTGCTCTGCTGACAATCAGAGTATAAGTAGACACACAAAGCCCACGAATCAATATCACTGATATGAGTTACAGTGAAACACAGCACCGATTTTACAGTCTTCACTTTACATGCATGTTGACGAAACTGGATATAATTCCGTCATTTACAGTTGTATTATATTCTAATGTAGCAAGGTCAGCTATCCATTATTCCATATTACACAGGAAGAATATAGTGGAAATATGTAACATAGAAAAACTGACTACAAGGAAGACATGAAAATATTAGCCAAAACTTGTGTTAGTTGCGAGAGTATGTGTATGTCTTCATTGTTGTGATAGTTAATGTTGGATACTGTTGAACACCAAATTTCTTTGTCAAATCCTTGACTCTAAATATGTGTAAATTAGCAAACTTTGAATATTTACTTGTTTCTGGCAAATTAAATTTGAATCTGTAATGTTACATTTGTGAT